GCCTCTTTACTTTGACAGTATTCAAAAAAGCTTCTCAAATATGGGTTTGACCTGTCATATTGCTAAAATTCACAGTGAGGTACCTTTGGTTAATCTTTAACTTGCATTATGCGTTTTGTCTACATATTATACCTAACATTGAGCACATTACTAATCAGGCTTCAGTTGAGAAAAATGCGAGAGAGATAAAAGAGTGCATCGAGGAAATTTATCAGGGTTCAAAGAAACGTGTTTTACTTCTTGGACATAGCAAAGGGGGAGTAGATTCAGCTGCTGCTTTGTCTATTTATTGGTCTGAATTGAAAGATAAAGTTGCTGGTTTGGCATTAGCTCAGAGTCCATATGGTGGAAGCCCAATAGCCTCAGGTATTTTGAGAGGACGCCTTAGTAATCATCTTCACGTACCGAAGCTTATGAAGATTCTAATTTGTAAGGTGATGAAGGTATGGATTAGCCTTTTATGGATTCTCATTTAGTGTGAAGTATCTAGAAAGTTTATAGCATGATTTCGAATCATTCTGCAATTGGTTTTTCTGTCAACTTATGAAGTTACCATCGGAGGCACTTAGAGTACTATGAAATGATATTTTGGGGGATCATTTACTAATTATCTGTGTAATTGCCCCTGAAATGAATAACTGACATAAATTATGTGACTGGTAGAGTTAAGTACTGAAGAGAAGGCAATGCCCAAGTTGCATGAATAATTATGGGTAATGATACAGAAGATGAAAAAATGAGATGAATTCATGGAATCAATAACATAAAAAGAATGTGAAAAAAAAGTGAGACAAATGTGAATTTTATTTTATTAATATATTACTGATGTAGTAAGCCAATTCGAAATCGTCCTATGAAATCGTCTCTTTTTTTTTACTTTTTTTTATCATTATTCAATAATTATTACCCAAAATAGAAAAAAGAAAGTTGGATAGTAAATGGTTTTATTATTGTATCTATCGTACGCATTATTACCAACTCATAGTTGTATATTTGGAAACAAGTAGAAAGGCAACTCACTGAATGATGAACTTAGAAAGAGGCTAAGTGGGGCAAGTTGGAGTTAGTCTATGCTTATATGCTGTTGGTCTATTATTCTCGAATGTAATATTGATGGAAACATGGTTGCTTTTAGAACTTCAAATGTTTTCTTCTCAATTTTCAAGGGAGACATGCAAGCTTTGGAAGACTTGACTTATGAGAAGAGGAAGGAATTCTTGAAGAAACACCATTTACCAAGGGAGCTTCCTGTTGTTTCCTTCCACACAGAAGCCAGCATCAGTCCCGCAGCACTAACCACACTATCTCTTGTGGCTCATGCAGAGCTACCAG